TGCAACTTGAGGCCGTTTCCTTTCATCCTATCACTCATTATTTGAGAGAAGAGACCGACCCCCACCTCGCTACAACCTCTTTTCAGGTAGTGTAGAGAGCGATCAGGTCTCCCCTCAGCCTCCTCTTCTCCAGGCTAAACCCCCCCAGCTCCCTCAGCCGCTCCCCATCAGACTTGTGCTCCAGGCCCTTCACCACCTTCGTTGCCCTTCTCTGGACTCGCTCCAGCACCTCAAGGTCTGTCTTGTCGTGAGGGGCCCAGAACTGAACACAGCACTCGAGGTGCGGCCTCACCAGTGCCCAGTACAGGGGGATGATCACTGCCCTGGTCCTGCTGGCCACACTGTTACTGATACAAGCCAGGATGCCATTGGCCTTCTTGGCCACCTGGGCACAGTGCTGGCTTATGTTCAACCAGATGTCGACCAACACCCCCAGGTCTTTTTCCGTCGGGCAGTTTTCCAGCCACTCTTCCCCAAGCCTGTAGCATTGCATGGGGTTGTTGTGACCCAAGGGCAGGACCCAGCACTGAGCCTTGTTGAACCTCATACAGCTACAGTTGGTCTCGACCCATCAATCCAGCCTGTCCAGATCCCTCTGTAGAGCTTTCCTACCCTCAAGCAGACCAACACTCCCACCCAACTTGGTGTTGTCTGCTTCTTCCATCATCTAAGTACTGCTTTCACCTCTTTCTCTGGTCATCTGTCAGACTACTGCTTTTGTTTTGTACAAATACTTCTTAAAAACCTGCTTATTTTATGAAGCTCAGAAAAAGAGTTACCAATGAATCATTCCTTTCTAAACACAGCTAGACACGCACAGCCCTTTCCTTCATGCCATGAACTTTTCCTGAGTGGCCGAATCATCTTCTATCTACCAAACTGTCTACCTTCATTCATTACCGTCTGAAACTAGAGTGCAGATATAATTGGATACATCTACCAGTACTTTTCATTCATTACTGTCTGAAACTAGAGTTCAGATATAATTGGATACATCTACCAGTACTTAGAGGAAACCAGCAAAACATTCAGCATTGTAGAATAAGTAATAACTACTTCAGTTTGCAAAATGCTGTTTAGTATGCTGTCAATACTGTTACTTATATTGACATACCTCAAACATTTTGGATAAAGTTAAGGAATACATTTTAGTACATAAACCTTCTGAAATACTTCAGTACCATTGATTACAGGGTTGTTTTGCTGGTTTCTCATCCTCCTAATCAAGAGGCAGCAGCAAAGGGTGAAGTGTCCTGTTATTCCTTCTATCAGAGAGACATCCAGTCAGCTCTTCTCTATTAATTCTCTGCTAAATCATTCAAGATAATCCTATCTCTATACATTCACACTGAACAGTTCAACTTATCTGAATATCTAAAATGTCTCACATCATCTGCAACAAGTGATCCAGGTGAAAAGAAACTTTTCTTACATTTGAAGAAATGGTCCTTTTGAAGAAGTGATCTAACACTATAGAGAATAAGGGGAAGTGTAACTATTCCCACCAAAGAGCAAGACTGTTCTCTGTGACTTGAAACACCAGTACCTTGTGGAGTCTTCATTAACCATTAGTGTCAGAAGCCAGAAGGACTTGGTTTCACTCGTGTCTACCCCAGAAAAGGCACCCTTTCTATTCAGTTATAGACTTAGCCAAACTGATCTATGCTTTTGTAATCCCATACTTGGATCCATCCAACTTGCTCTTCCTTGGTCTGACCCAGATGCCACTCCATAACCTACAGATGGTTCATCATACTGTATCCCATCTGTTAAACAGAACACAGTAATGAGAATACATCACACCAATATTCCTCACTTCCCTTTGGTTTTCATTCTAATCCCAAACACAGCTGAAGGTCCTGGTCCTTTCAGTGGTCCATGACTAACTCACCTAAGAGAAGGTCTATTCTTTTTACTTCTTGCAGAAGATAGATACAACAGAGTTATTATGCCCCAAAGATCTCAGATTCAAACTTCAATGTATGGGACAGAGAGCTCCTGGCTTCAGCACTCATTTCTACCACATATTGTGTTTTGCTATGTCTAGGTTGTGATAAAAGATTCATCTCTTCCTGTGGGTAGTTTAGCTATCAATGAAATCACCACAGCACTGCATTCCTGAATGAAAAATTAAACCATGCTGTTCATCAGGAAATAATTAGGACTGGAAGGAGGAACAGTTCTGTTTTGAAGGACTTAACTAAGTTTAGCATAATATGCTTCAACACTATAGCATATACAGTAAAAAAATAAAGTCTTATAAATCTGAACTAATAACACAGAAGTATTAATAATATTCATATATAAAGAAAATTATTTATATGATATTGAAATTTAGGATTCCTTAAGGCACATAATTACATGAAATCAGTGCAAATTTGACACTTAAACAGGAGTTGTATATAGTCAGTACTATACTGACTGGAAGTATAGTAGCTGGAAGAAAAGTAGCTGGAAGAAAAGTACTGTCCTCTGAAAACTCATTGCAGTGCAAGAGAGTTTTTTGTTATTTTGCTAAACAGAAAACAATTAAAACCCAACTTGTCCCTTAAGGTGATATTTTTCTGAAAATACACTTTTTAAGTAGAAAGGTAGTCCTATTTCTCAGGAAAAGAAGAATGATAGCAAAACCATTAGCCAGATTTCTGGGTGAAATCTTGGTTTTCTTGCAATCAATAGATTTTTTGACATTGAATTCCATTAAGCAAGAATGCAACCCCTGAAATTTAAAAGAGAGAAATTTTCATGCATTATTGAATCTAATTGGTGATTACAACCCTTTGTTTTGCTTTTCATTTATTTCATTCTCTACTTTTGTGAAACACAACTTGCAGAATAAGAAAAGGCTAACAAATACTCTAGAACCAATCAATGTTTTGAAACTAATAATAATACAATATGAGCATGTAAGCTTATGTAGTGCCTTTCATGTAGAAGTATCCCAAGGCACTTTGTAACAGAAACTCAATAAGGAGTGCAAAAGTGCTTTGTCAGATAGGATAAGCCAGGGGAAAAGGCAAAATTAATTAAGCGTGGATTTAAATTTCTCAGCCAACACAGTATTTAGAACCTTGGTCAGAAAAGAAAGTGGTTCCAATATCTGTATCCAGGGAACACAACAGACTATTTCAGTCTTTAATTCTTGAGGAACGTTCAATAGTTTTTCTACGATAATATGGGTGTGAGTAATAGGAATGCAGTTCATAGGCTACATTTCCAAAAGGCAGCCCCTGCCTCTCTTCCTCTAGTTTTTCATAAACAAATAGATTCATAAAAGCTGATCACCTGACTTGTACGCCACTAAAGTCACTTGACTTGGAGACACCCAATATGGAATTTGGTACTGTAGAAATTACAAATACCAAGTTAAGGACTGGGCAATGGCTTTATTGGCTGTTTAGCTCACTGTTTTAAACTAATGTATGTTTGCTTATGGAAGTAGTCCACACCTCTGACAGAAACAGTAATTGGTTACACAGTAATTCCTAAGATAGCATGTATTTCACAGGGAAAAGCAAAATTGCTTGGGAAAAGCTATAGTAATGGATAATGCATAAATTACAGCTTCCCTGATGTTGCAGAAACTTGCACATCCTCTATTTTTCAAACATTTTTCTCTTAGGAACACATGGACCATCTTCATTTTTGGATGACTGCCTCTTTGGATTAATGCATCCTTCTGGTGCATAAATTAGGGATGCACAGAAGAAAAAGGAGAAGCACTAAATCTCAGGAAACTGAAGCCGTACAGAAAAATGAGATTCACAGTAGAGCTGAATGAGTGACTCACCATGAATAATTTATCCAAAAAGTTAGCCTCCACTTCTGTTCATGGAATATCTATAAGAAGCTTATAATTTCCTCAGTTTTATTATAAAAGAAAACCTTAAAATATTGTATGTCTTCATTGCAAATAACTTCCTGTAAATATTTCAGGTCCTATCTTAAGAGTGGCATTTTGATTGATCAAAGAAATCACATGATGAGGTTTCTGTTGCCTAGACGGATGAACCCACAAGCACATTGTTCAGATACCTGCTGTGGTAAGGACGCAGCTCAGTAGCATGTGATGAAAAGTGAGTGTAGGCAAAATAAGTTAATTTAAGAAAAACTCTTAAGAGTTTTTGCAAAAATGTTTTCAATATTTATATTGCAGCTGTAGCCCATTGTAATTTTGATTAATAACTCTAGGAATTTGCAGCTACCTGTAAATATTTTCCTTGGGGGACATGAGGAGTGAACTTGTCCCAGAGAAAACTTGGATTTGATGGTACATGTTCGTTTTAGAAGATTTGATACTGAATAATATGCCAGTCTTTCCAGAGTTTGTTCTCAGCTCTTGGACCAGTTATTAGGAGTTGGTACACACATTAGTAAAATTAAAGTAGTAATGTTAAAATTTTGCTAGATTATTTGTGATCTGAAATATCCTTGTACAATTTATGGTTTTGAATGGGCTGCCATGCTTTATGCAAATTTGAAAAGCACTCTCTGCTACTTCAATAAAATACGAAACCTCAGCAAGTACTTGAGGAAAAATGAGCCATTAGTGCATTTAGAATTTATAGTAATTTACAGAGACTATCAGTTTTATAAAAGCCATCCAACAAAAACTTATAAATGTTAATATCTCGTAGAATGTTCAGATGTTGTAATACTATAATACCTATTACAGGAAAAAGAAAACTGAAGACTGATCAGAAACTATACTCTTTTTTTGTGTGCCCTGACACAGGCTAAAGATAAAGACAGCATACCAGAATCCTACACAATTTGAATTACTTTTGATTATGCTTCCATAATTATTGCTAACATTTTGCTTCTATTTTTGATATATTTAAAAAGTGAATCTGCATCAAGTACCTTTTGTCAGATCTATGCTAATTCTCTTCATAATACATCATTGGCTGGGTTGTCTATTTTATAGCAATACCATTGGTATGAATTTATCAATATAATCAGAAAATAAAACTGAAAAAATAAACAATGTAAGTTCTTACCTGAGCTCTTGAGCTATAGAGTCCACTTGAACTGTTAATGAAAGCAGGAAAGAATGAATTAGTTTACACTTCCAGACTTGTGCTTTCTGCGACCTTGCACCTGCCTAGCTGTGATGACAGAGGAGTGGCTATCAAAACACAGGTGATTATTTCATGATAACCACAGGACTGTAGCTACTAGTGGCAAATGTTAACTCAGCATATAATTCTCACGGTTGTTTTAGGATGCATAAAACCTGGAGTATGATGTTCAATGGAACAATAAGAAAAATAATAAGAAAAAATAAAAGAGAAGGCACTTGTTTTTTCTGAAAACAGAATGACAAACCTCTGCTTTTTCTGAATCTTAATTCAATTTGGGAATGACAAAAGCTGGTGTTTACAAATACCTACCCACACAAGGATATTCAGCATATTGACAAAGACAACAGGTGGTTCTAACGATTACTTGTGTTGCACAGGCAACTTTTGTTGTTTCCACTTCTGGGAAAATGTTCCTGACACGCTAATTGCTGTAAATGTGTGTGCACGCATATAAACAATATAGAGAAAGAAAATCTGTAAGTTTTAAAATTGTGTTTTTAGCTTTTTGAGTGAAAAGGGTATGAATTCTCTATTAAATACAGTTTAAGTCTTCTAAGCCAGCCAGACTCTTTTAACTCACAGTCCTGACCAACAGAGAGGCATGGTCTAATTCGAAGATGTGAATGACTTCCTCATTCAATAACCTCATTCAAGTCCTCTGTTCTGGTACTTTTGAAATGTACACAAATTTTACACTAATTTCAGAGAACTTTACTGAGGGGTGCATCAAAGATTCAATACGACAATGCTTATGTTTTTTAGAAAGGCTTGTCGGAATTTATCCCCTTGTCTGCAGGCAGTTTATGGCACTCCCACCCCCTTCCTCTGTCTTTTCCGAAGTTAAGTCTAGCACTTTTCACGCTTTTGGTCATTTGAAACTAGAGAACTAAGCCAAATCACACTTTAATTTTTTGTTCTGACCACAACTTGAAGTTGAAGGCACGATATTAACAACCCAGAACTACTAAGTTGTGACAATGAATCAAATTACTTTGTTTTGCACAATCCAGAGTGCATGATTCACTTTAAAATCAGAGTGAAGGGTGGGTGCTTTGCACCTCTGAAAACAGTCACAAACAAAAATGTTCACAGAGCAGACAAAACTTTGACATTTATTTTTAAGTATCTCCATTTTTCACTCAGTATCAAGAGTCACAAAAAGTGTTATGAATTAAAATAAAAAGTTATTTTCCTGGAAGGGCTGTATTGCTAGTCAATCATGTTTTCCAGATGTTGAGATCATTAAGGGCCTGTTTATCTCTCAGTACTGCATTTCCATCTGTTCCTTACAAAAAGAGAGGAATAGCTGGGAAATACAACTATGTCACAACTTTGCAAAATGAAACATGAGCACCAGCACTTAAAAAAAGCACAGCGTTCTCCTCTGCCACATACACCTACACCTTTTTGACTAAAGTAAATTTACCTCTGGACCACATACATAGCTAATTTACAGATAATTAATGGCAATAGACAGAAAAACATTCAGCTGGCTAAGACAAAGTTTTGTACAATATTTTGAAAGCACCCATTCAATAGTGTCTAGTTCTACTCCCTATGGAAAATCTTTCTTTGCATAATAAAAAGCATAACTTTTATTTTCTTTGAGAAACAACTCAAAGAAAATAGCATACAGTAGATTTTTTTCTGCTTTTCTTTAAACCATAGCTAATAACATCGTGCCTCTTAATGCCAGCAGTCTGTGTCCTGCCTTGATTAAAAAAGGAGCCCTAAGGAAGCTCCACACTCTCTTACTGCACATTAGGGACTGTGCACAGGAACCATCACATTTCATGGTGTGGTGGGCACAGGGTCGTGGAACGTGCTTGCTAACTCACCCTTGGTTCCTTTTGAGCGTGTGCGCAGCTTTTTATTTTCCCCATCTGCATCCATCTGTAATATTAACACAAAGTCTTTAATTCATTCCTTTTGCCATTGAGAAAAAAAAAAGTCTCCAATGCTTTTTTTTTTTTCCACATTTCCAAAGGCTAGACAGTAATAGAAAGAAGAATAATCATACCTTATTAATCTTGTCAAAGAGATAAAAAGCCATCTGTGAATATCTAGTAAATACCTAGGAGATACCTTTAATGATACAGATTTGTTTAATAAAGTGATGGTTATGAGTGACTCTGTAAGGTTTAATGACAAGGTCTACAGGTGTTAGCTGAAGGCCTAAGGTTAGAAACAGCAATGCTGTACAAGTGCTGCTTTCAGCATCCACCTCCTGGAAGAAAAGGTCCCAGAAAGCCACAGTGCCTACAGGCACTCTGCATTATCATTGTAACTGAAGCATATCTTAATAGTTGCATTGGAACCTGCATTTCTGACAACTTCATCCTTAAAACATGAAACACTTTTGCTTTAATGTGCATAATTGCACACATACAGCTTTGAAATACTTCACTGCTTAACCAACTACTTCTTACAGAAGTTTTAGTCAAAGAGACAGTTATAGATTTGTACAAGTTTTGGGGAGAATGTAGTGTCCAGGTTTGTATTGCACATTAAGAAAAAAAAACAAGAACCAAAATATCCAACTCCTCAAAAAGTCAGCTGTTGCCCTAAGACTTCTAACTGAAATAAGAGAGACCTTTCAAGATCAGCTGTTCTCATGACACTTTTGGCTACATCTAAACCAGCACTGGAAATATGCACCTTCTGGTCTTGGATCTGGCCCAGACCCATAATTGTAGGGGCAGGTTTTCAATCCATGGATTTTATTACAAACCCTTGAAATTCAAAGGAATTAAGATTTCATGTTCTGGTGTGGAGAGCTGCAGTGACATACAGCAGATTGTGCAACAGCATCATTTTGACCATGTCCAGGGAGGCAAACTCCTCTTCTTTCTAAAAGTAACTCTTAATTTTTTATGTAAGGAAGACTGTCCTATGAGGAATTTTTGTCTTTGTAAAATATCAGGAACTCTGGAATTCTTCAGTCTCTGATAACATCTTACTATCTATCTCTGCTTTGAATCTCAGTTTCCCTGTTTGTAAAAGGTGATGATCAAACATACTGTGGACGAAGCAACTCCCGTGTGCTTCTGCAGATCAATATGCAAGAACAAATGCAGACACCACCATCTGATTTATATAACTCTGTTGGGCAATTGGTAGATGCATTCTGTGGATACCAAAAGTTGCCTATGCCTGGCATCTTTTCCTGCAAAAGGTAGCAAGATAAAAGCCAATGTCAACATTAGATGTCATCTATTATTTCACTCTTCCTTTCTGAGGATCAGCAGAACTGATATGCCCTTCTGAGGGAAGATGCAAGAAGCTCTGTTTGTGCCTTTTTCCATTTATAGAGTTTGAAGATCTGAGCATGCTTTATTTTTAGTTTTATATAACTCAGATAACTGAGATGTTTTGAAGGTCTTATCTGAAAGAACATTGCAGAATATGACAAAAATGACCAGAGAAAGAAAAAGAGTAAACTCAGCCTTTCTAGGGGAGAAAAAGCATTTCTCTAATTTCCTGGGTTTTTTCTGTTTGTTGTTATACATAGTTACACATTATATACAGCTACTGGAATCAAAATACCTATTTGCAGAAAAGAACACAAGCATTTGAAAAGGGTATTCATGTACTTGAAGAAGTCTAATTCTAGAATGCAGGTTAGCCATATTTGAAATGAAAGTAAAAATTGATTGAAATGCACCTCAAAGCCAGACAATGATATCTTTTCTCTGTTTAAATTTACATCTGATGTTGATTATTAGCAGGGAAGGAACATAAGTGGTTTGTGTTTAGGCAGTGGGGCTGATGGCAGTCTTTACTTGTTACTATCCTTAAAACCTGGAGAACGAGTTTTTGCAATGTGACTGCAATGGTAATGGGAAACATGGCTCTGTTCTCTGATGCTGAGTTGTGATTGAAGGCACTGACCTGCCATAGACTTATAATAGGGGAGCAGGTGTGGCAATGATGGACTTTAATTTCCTTTAATAAACCTTTTATGTGCCACACTTTTACTGCCATTCTATGCTCTCCAAGGTCCTGCACATAATAGGTTCATTACTTTTGATTACTATAGTCTATTGAGACAAACAACTCCAGAACACACTATATATTATGTTCAGTTAAACCAATATAGACTATTTATCCACTGTACATTATTTCACCTGCAACTCTACAGACAAAATTAACAACAGCTCCTGTAAGCTAAAACTATTAAAACCACTGGTACTCCTTTGTCATCATTTCATAATAAATACCACACCAATCACAGTGCTGCTCTTTTAATTATGAAACAAAAAGTGTCCACTGCTTCTACTGAACAGCAGTTACTTTGGTCTAAATAGCACGTTGCATTGTGATGAATATTTAAAAACTGCACAATGAGTGAAAACCAACAATGAAATCAGTGCAGGTGATTTTTCTATTGATTTTCCTTCCTTGTAATAATTTGAAACTATGAGAGACGTTTAATTAACTCAAACTTAAAATTTATAGGACTATTTAGCCTGGTGCGTACCACATATTAAAATAATCATTATGTCTGTATTGCATGAAAAACACCTTAACTTACAAAACAGTCCCATACATCAACTTGAAAATTATACAAAAGTAACTGAATAAAACTGCAAAATCTTTTAAGTGTGTCAGCAAAAGTGTGTCTTGCTCAAAATTTAAGTGTAATATCTTTGGGGTTTGATAGTTCTTTCAGAGACTGCCTGATACTGAAAAAAGTGAACAAAGTTTCTCACTTCTGATTTTTATCTACATAGTGATTGTTTTACATGAAATTACAGCCACAGATGGTCAGCAAGAGTATTCAAACTTTTAAATTATTCATGGAACAACAAAAGAATTAAACTCTAAGTGAGAAATTCCGTCCAAAGTTTTTAGAGGTAATGGTCATTAAGGTGTTCATTTGAGAAACATATCTTGTCACTGCTGTGTATTGAAGACTCGATGGATTCTGGAAGGTGCTTTGTGCTCTCAAAGCTGGGGATAGTCAGCCCTCCCTCGCAGTGCATTTGTTGTCTTGAGACAAGAAGCCATAAAGGATAAATAGAATGGTCATGTCTGGACAAAATCCTCACACAATGTCTCACTACTTATTTTTTCATCCATCAGGACCATTGGGATAATATCCAAGCGCTTGCCAGAAAGATTTTCTTGGGGGTTGTAGTGCCATATTTTTTTAAAGTCAAGCTTCACAAAAATAACAAGTGAATAGTGGAATTAATTCCGCTTTATCTTTGTGTCTCATACCTACATTCTTTGATTTGATGGGTTTTAAACCCATCTAAATATTTTCCTTTTGATATTAGTTGAAACTAGCTAATGGACTCAAAAGGAATTAGTGGGGGATAAACAGTCAGAAACACAGCGACAGACCGGTAGCAACTATGCAGTCCCAAATCGTTGGGCAAGCAGGCTAAGAAATAAATGCTTGCCTTAGAATTTCTTCAGTTATACCCTGTTTCTGTGATTTTGAAATTTACTGAGGATGCTGATGTTGAATTATTTTCTGAAAGCATGTTCCAACAAATCTCCCTAAAGTTTACGAATGCTTTCTGTCTGACGTTGTGAATTTCCGTTTGATTCTCCCTCCACCTTTGCTTCAAAATTGGTTGAGATTTCATGGTAAGCCAATAATCAGATCTCAGAAAAATGACTGGAGTCACCGATGATACCACAAATTCTGCTTGGCTGAAACTGGAGTAACTTGCTATGTGACTGCTATAGGGTATTCATATTTCTCCAGATGAATTTACTGGTGGAATAGCAGCAATCGTACTTTCTGAGCAAACTATTTCAGAGTTCCTGGCTGCAGAAACCAAATTTTCCTTCTGTTTGTACTATCGCACTGCAGTCAGCGGAGTCAAGAGCAGCACCTGGAAATACTTCCCTGAGTGAGAGAATCAGGATTTGGCTCCGAGTTTGGTTTTTTTTTTGTTTTTTTTTTTTTTTTTATTTTTTTAATGTGCCTGCAGTCTATCTGTGCACATGTGCATGTACTGATATTATAATGGGATCCAAGAATATGACTAACAGCTGAAAATAGGGCATGTGCAATAAATGATAATAATAACAATAATAGCAACTATTTCAGTTTACTTGCACATTTTTAATTCTGAATTTCAGAAACTAAATTGATACTACTATCTTGGTAAGACAGTTTTACAGCAAATTACTGTGAAAGAAACTATGACTTGGAGAAGCCAGTGCTGCTGACATAGGTAAAAGTGAAATGCACCTCCTGGAAAGCGCTAACGTAAGAATTACGTGCTTTCTAATTTCTATTGTAACCTTCGTACAAGCATGGCTTTCCTGGAGTGGGTTTCACACTGCTGGAGTGGTAGTTTGTTTCCTTTTGTGTAACTAGCTAGAGAAAAAGAAAGCACTAGTTTATCTAGAGGTAAAGAGTATAAAAGTTGATATTTTGTTGTGATTTTCCAACTAAAAGTTACACCTGATTTTGAAAATTAAATTTGGCAACTTCGCTAGGAGAAACCTTAACTGATTTTGAGAGGTCTGAAAAGAGAATAGCTTTGCTCCACCATTTTCAGTTGGTAAACTAAGTTTGTGTAGAGGCAACAGCTACATCTGTCACTAGCCTAATGAACTTAGCCAGAAAAAGAAACACCACCACCTTGATGAGTTTTAAGGCACATAAGTCCATCCTCAAGTCTCACACGCAAGCCACAAACTGCAAAGGTGAAGTCAGACACTGCTAAGCACTACAAACACGGCTGTGCCCCAGGGTGACACAACGCTGGGTGTGCCTCTCCCTACAATAAGTTACACCCCCAGAGCAAGCTTTTCCATGCTTGTGGTACTCATATCTTAATGTTTCTTTTCAATAACTCATTTAAGAACCTAACATGTAAAAATAGAGTAATGTCATAAAGAAAAAGATTTTTTTTAAATAAATCTGAAAGCAAGAAGGTTTCCTATAGCTTGTCCAGAAGTATGGAGCACGGTTTGGCTGTCTGTGTATATGTGCATGCTGACTGCGTCTTTCTGTCACTCTATGATAACTTTTTTTAGTAAGAAATATTAACGAGATACTGATGGTGAGAAGTACGGTGCAAGAAGGAAATGCAAACTACACATACAGCAACTTCTAGATAAAGCTTATATATTCTGATTACTGGCAGTAAAAAAAAAAATCACAAATCCAAAGACAAAAATTTTAGGGACATTGCTTGTACTGTGGTTAAAATTTCTTGTTTCTTCTTTTTAATAACATGTTGATGGTCAGAAAGGAGAAAAAATGTTTACAAAGTGGGTGTTCTTGAAGACTATCACTAAAAATATGCCTTGTTTAGTGATTTTGATCATTCTTAACCAAGGAGTCATCTCATCTTTATTTTTGAAACTTTTGCTTTACTTTACACAACGCTATTCCTGATTTCTCCAGGAGAAAGTTGAATAACATGGAAATAATTCGTTCAGATGTATTCATTTCTCAGGAATTAAAAATAAGTAAGTGCATATATTGAATGCAAACTTTAAAGCATGTTTATAACACATATATCATTATATGTAACAATTTGGCATTTTATAGTGTGGTTGAATGGTATTAGTATTTTTGAGAAGTAGATTTTTTTATATTGAAGTCACTATTTGAAAATACACAGGAACAAAATAAACCTTAAATCAGAAGCAAGCTTGAATAGCTTTGTAATGAGGATGATTTATTTTGATTCTCACTTCTGATTTCTGAGTTGCCACTGCTGTTGTATACTTCATCCATGCAACTTTGCACAACTGGCAGTGCTGAATATAAACCAAAGCCATATGTTTATGTCCTTTTGCCAAACGACTACAGCAAATAGTTCTATTATTCCCTTAGGTAACCAACGTGTGCCAAGTATTTCTATTAGTCTGCTTTACCAAGGCTTTAGAGGGCAGAGTCACAGCTTTATGAAATTAAGGGGCAACTGCTAGCTTTTTAAATTTACAGAAAAATTATATAGTCTACCACACTGAAATGCAGCTCAACACAAGCTGATGTGTGATCCTGCTTTCTGGAGACTTTTTTTCCTGGATTTTTATATTTGACATAGTACAATGTCTTGTCACTATTTCCTGGGCTACTATGGACTAAATAGATTTTTTTAGAAGAAAGAAAGTGTCAATATTAAAAAAGAAAAAAATGCCTTGACATCTTGAGATCTTTTACAAATATACCAAAGTTTTTATCCCACTCAACTGATATATAGTTAAAAAAAACCTCAATAAGCATTATTAAAAAAAATCATAAATATGCCATACCTCACAGATTAAATTTAAGCAATGTGTGATGAAATACATTCTCACTCCTGGAGTCATATACATTCAAAGATATATGTGTTCCTGTCAGTACCTAATGCTAACAGAATGTAGTTCTGAAACTTAAAAACTAGAATTTCTAGGTATTTACAAAGATTTATATCTTTTTCAATTGTTCAATATTGTTATACCTGACTGTTGAAGACTGCTGTTCTTAAAATAGCAGATGCTATGCGAGAAAAATAGTCCCAGTGCATGAGACACTACACATGAAGCCACATAGTATTCTAGTACTAATATAGAGATACATTTTGACTCAATTTCATTTTTATAAATAAATTACCCCACCTTTGCGTGTTTCCAGGTGAAAATATGTGCAGATTCCAAAGGACCAAAGTCGTCACTCAGCCCAAGATGCCTTGCTTGATTTAACAGATAATCCTGAAATTCATTCTCTGGAAAACAAACAAACAAACAAACAAACAAAAAACAACAAAAGAAAACCAAAAACCAGCTATACTAAATAAAATGTAGATAAAACAGGACACTTTTTAAATCAAATGGGCAAATAATCCAGGTGCATTGTTTTCTTGTGCGGTTTTTCAAAGTTGTGGTATAGAGGCATCGATGATGCTCCTAAAACGCAGAAAGAATAGCAATTTTTCTTTTGTTATGGCACTTTCTTTGTGCTGTTAATGACCTTTCTGATAGCTTATCAAATGGACCTGCTGTAAGAAAAGTTCTTCTTGCACAGACAAAAATCCATAGTTTCTCTATGTAGAAGTCCTTAGTCAAATGTTTTTACTGCATCAGAACCCCTTTAACTGAGTAGGATGGTTCACTACATGATGTGAAATAAATGAGAAACATCCTGAAATATTTTAATAATAGCAGAAACCCCCCCTTTTTTTTTTTCTTCCTTGATTTTGAATATCAGATTTTAAAGTTTGGCAGACTGATAGCGTTCTCACCATAAGCAAACTGAAGGAAATCCTTGACATTTCTCCATGCTCAATTTTTATTCCTTTCTGTGAGGAAACTCCTGCTAAATCAACAATAACAGCAAGGGAAGAAGAGCTGCAGAAGTTTATATCTGAGTGTACAATATTGAGGACCTTGTATTCAGAAATAATGAATACCCAAACCCTTCGAACACTTAATGTTGTAGGCACTTGTAACCTGGGAAAATCTGGCTGTGAACAGTTATTATGGGCAGGCTTTATTTTAACATCACTCCTGCCACTAGTGATCAAAATATAAAATTTTTACTATCAGTTACAACTTCAGAGGCCCTTTTCAAATAGTATCCAAGGTATTTAGTAAAATAGATCTATTCATTCAACGTATTCCAATTATGACAAAGTTTGCAGATAAACTTTTGGAACTTGAAGGTGAAACTTTAACTATTCATTTAATGATATCTGATGAAGTTTTGTCAGTAAAATTTGCAATGTTACATTTCTGAAATTGGAAAGGATCGTTCTAAACAGGGAAGCTAAAGTTTATTGAGTGACTAATTTTTTACTTGAGTCCCAATAGACAGAGTATTAGTTGCATCCCATCAATAACTTTTAATTAAAATAAATAAGCTTTTATCAAATAGCAAAATAGACAACAGATGCAAGATGATAAAAAAGGGAGAAAACTCAGAACAGAACAACCCCATACTGAAGAGATTTTGAAGCAGTTTTCTAGTTAATATGTTGCTGGAAAAAGGTGTTATTTATCCTCAAAAGCCTCTTTCCCCATTATTCTATTTCAATATCCATGAAAAAAAAAAAGAAAGGAGTGTTAAAGCTTTCTACCTGCCTCTTCCTCTTTGTTCAACACACACTAACCTAAACCAAAAGATCTCTGAGAGTAGCTACAATGGTGAGCAAAGCGCTTTCTAAAGCCTAAAACTTAGCAACTTTTTGTCTAAAATCCTATCGTGTTATGTATTTATTAGCAATATATTTTTCATTTATTTTCTCAAAGATTGCCAATAAAGGACTAAATCACATAAGGGAGTAGCTGTAAACCCTTTGAGTTCCCTAATGTCAAGCTCATTAGCATCCGAATAACCACACAGCAGCACATCATCTGCACAATTGCAATTTTTTACTACTTTTAATAGCGTTTCTCAAAGGGCTCATTTTCAACTTTCTTCAGTGGTTAGTTGGTTCTCTGGGGAAAAGGAGCTTCCTGACGCTCACAGCTTCCACTCAACAACCAGGCCGTTTGCTGTCAGAAGCATCAGCCCTCTGCCCTAACCCCATCTGCTGTCTCTCGCATCCTAAGGGACCGAGAGTTAAGACAGCACAGCTGAGATCCACTTGGAAAAGTGCACAAAGGACAGGAAAATATACAAAACTTTTCACATTTAGCATTACATAATAAGCTAATACATTGAAAATCCTCCTTTTAAGAAAAAAAGTCTGGGGTGGGTCGCGGCTGGGGGGCAGGTTTTTAAATTGTGCTGGAAAACTACATGCAACAGTGCCATTTGCTATTTTACTCCCATCTGCCTTGCGTGCGACATCATCATTGTAAATTGACATTATCTTTGTAAAGCGGAGAGTGATGTAGTAGGACAAAAGCAAGACTTTATATAAAGCACAAAACCTGAACTCCTCTGCTGTGTTTAAGTACAACAGAAGTTACTGGTTAGTAAGTTTAAATATGTTATTTTCTATTTCTTTCACATAGCAGGGTGCTGGCTGCCATACAGCTGATTCGTGGGTGAGTACCCACATTTGAAGATATGGTGTTTCATAAAAAAGTCTAATACAATGTCATGCATCTGTCATGTTATAAACAGGGTGTGTAGGATTATGCTGTGTCATGGGAAGTGACATACCCCTAATGGAACATAAACTGTGCGTCACCCCTGTCCACACGCCAAGAAGCAACTTACATTTCAAATATAAGTACTGGGATCTGATACCTCAGGTAGCAAACGAGTTAGTGCTAATTTCACAGTAACATCTAGATCTTATACATTAAGTTATTGAGAAACACTTTATTTTAGTATATTTTATGAATTATAAAATTAATCATGGGCCAAATTTTGAGGCATTGCAAGAAGTGCAGATTAAAGTCTGCAATGCCAACTGGAAAAATTAAGATCTCAGCTTCAAGAGCCCATAAAGAACATCTATCTAGGTTATTGGCAACTTTGATGATAAGATGGTTGTTGGTCGAAATCAGGTAAAACTAACTGACTTATTTGTCAACCAAGGTTCTTTGGTGGGATCACTCCTGTTAAGTCCACACGTATCTTCATTTGGTCCAATCTATTCATAGCTTGCATTAACTCATTTGTCTGTTTTAGTAAAGAATTCAAAAGGATTTACAGACAGCAAATTATGCCTACACTTCAACTCCCTACATGTCTGAACAGAATTTTTTAATCCTGAAGGTGAAGTTTGCCTGCCTGTAAAGAAAACCTTCACCCTTTTCAACCAGCATCTCAATTCAACTAGAATGACAAACTTTATAAACCCACAAAGATGGATAAATGAGTTGCTTTATTTGTCAATGTAATGGTTCAGTGAAGTCACCTGGAACCTTTGCAATTCATCCTTCGGTTTACAGCCATTCCCAGTGCAACATGATTTTGTATTGACTCTGAAGTGCCATCCTACTGAGATCCATGAGTCACACCAGGATACTGATGTGAATCACCGTTTGGGCCCTGATCCTCAACATCAGATGTGTGTGACAAATTCCTTCAAGCCACCATTCTTGTTGACCCATTGTCTATGGGAAAAATCCATTCATTCAGATCAGATTATTAGAGAGTTCCCGAGGAATTAATAATTAGAAAAGACATATTGTACAGTCAAAAATTTTCTCATCAAGTCCGAGGTTGTTTTCTCTGTCAGAATTGCAGTACACAAAGCTGTACTACATCCGTAAAAGACCCCAAGAACTTTTTTGAGCATAATGGATATAATTTCCAACAGACAAATTTGATTTTCTCTCATTTACCACATCACTAGTTGATATATTGCAAATATGAAAATGAATAATCAAAACAGTTTATGATTTGTTAACCCAGAATGGAAATAACAGTTAAGGAAACAAAATCCAATGTTCTCAGGATTATGATCCCCGAACATTTTTTGTGTTTTTACAGTGACAGCGATTTCTCTTTCTCAGGATAAAATAATGTAACATATTTAGTATTTGAGAAAAAAATG